CTCAGCCACCCCTGCCCCGAAGGAGCCGCAGCCCTGCAGACACCCCCCTACGAGGCTGCGTGTGCCCCTGGCTTTCATCACCTCGTTTAACACCAACCCCCGAGGCAGGGGCTATGCCTCCCGTCTCAGAGGAGAGAAAACCGGGACTCGGAGGAGCTGAATAGGTTGCCCAAGTGGCAGGGCCAGGCCTGCCTTCTGCCTCTCGAGCCGGGCCTCTGCCCCGCCCCAGTTCAGAGTGGGGTTGGGGGTCACGTGGGCGGGCCCCAGGAATCTCTGCAGAAGGGGTCAGGGAAGGGAGGTCTTCAGAGGCTGGGCAGTGGGAGGGCCTCCCCTAGGAGAAAGAGGTGTGTGGGGGGGAGAAGGGGGAGGCAGAGAGAGGAGAGAAAGGAATCCCAGAGAGCTATCCACGCCTCTGAGGTGGCCACACGGGTCCCAGAGGGTGGTTTTGGGGAGAGATGCTCGGGGCAGCTGGGGAGCCTCCGGTCAGGACACCTGGGTTCAGTCCTCGTCCCCAACCCCCTGGGTACATGGCTCCACCTCTGAGTCGCCTCCTCTCATCCAAATCGATGCCAATTAGCAAAAGGCATCCCCTTCCCCAGACTCCTGAGCGGCAGCCGCTGGGACACTGTCATGACCAATGTGCCCGTCGCCGGGAACCACGACGCCAGGGCCCCTTCCAGTGCTGGGGTCCACAGCTGGCTCGGCCACACAGGCTGGCCCCTCTCTGAGGTCCCGTGTCTGCGTTTGCTCTCTGCCGGGATAAACGCCCATAAACACACTCCCCGGCATCACCCGGCTGCTGGACGGTGAGAGGTGACGGAGGAGGCGAATCCGCTGGCTCCTCTGGCTGCTCAGCCCGGAGCAGGGCTGGGCTGGCTCGTCAATGCAGGCAGCACCCCCGGCCTCCCTGCCACCCTGACAAGGACCATCAGTGCCATTTGGAGCCTCTTTGTCAGTGGAGCTGCTCCCCACCCCCACTTCCTCCTGCCAGTTCCCTGCCTCCTCCTCCCTCTCCTTCCAGCCCCCGCCATCCATTCAGTGTTTTCCTCTGATTGTTCTGAGAATGACTCTGTCTGTGCCCCCACCCCCCGCCGCCCGCCCCCTGTGTCGGTGCCTCTTTATCCCCAGCTACAGGCTCCCTGTGGCCACGGGGCCTCTGGCTCCCGTTCCTAGGACCAGTTTCCCTGGGCGCCCCCACCCTAGCTCATGCCTGATGCTGGGGTTCAAGACCCTGTTGCTTAGGCCCTGCTTCCCTCCGTGCCACGCCCTGGGTGCCTCACACACCTGCCACGCTGGCTGGTTCCCAGGGGCAGGGCAGGGCAGCCCCTCATTCCTGTCCTGTCCTCCCTGCCTCACTCTCAGGATCTGGCCCTGTGAGGGCAGGGACCCTTAGTGTGCCAGACCCCTGCCTCCAGCTGTTTAAGTTGGCCCTGGACCGACCGCTGGAAATGGGTGCAAACGAATTTTTATCTGTGAGCAAGTAAGGAAATGGGTGCAAACGAATTTTTATCTGTGAGCAAGTAAGAAGTGGAGGTAGCAAGAGGGATTCTCAGAAGGACTTGGTGGGTGAAGAGGCGGGACCGGCCAGGTGGGATGCTGGCCCAGTTGTGCCGGTGTGGTGGCCAGCGCCTCTGGAGCCAGGGCCCAGACGCAGACAGCGGACCCTCCGGACACCTGGGGTCTTCCTGGCCGCCTGCCAGCATCGCCCCTGGGCGTACATCACAGCTCGTCACAGACATCTCCCCACACCTGACAGTCTCCCTATCCCTGCAGCCAGCCCCCTGGTCCCGCCAGCTGTGGTCCCCCAGCCTGCGTGCCTGGGATAGGCCGAGGCTCCGCTGCCCCTGGGCCCCTCTGAGAACCTCACCCCCTGCTCAGAGGCACCGCGGCCTTGTCCTACTGAGGCAGCGCCATCTCCGGACAGGTGGCCACTCTCCACCGCCAGCTCGGGGTCCACAGACGTCTAAGGCTCCGCTGGGGGGGCCCCCGTGGAATCTCTCCTGGGAGGACGTACTCACTGGGGGGGATGGGAGAAAGGTGGTTTTCTCGCCTTCTGTTTCATTACCAAATCTTTAAGTCCCCACTCACCCTGGGAAAGTGAAGACCGTCCAGATGTTCCAGGCTCTCGCAGTACAGCAGGGAGACCCACACACAGAGTCAGTTACAGGCCCGCAGGGCGTGTGTCGGAACTGACACGGTTGCAAGGGTGATGGGAACGCTGAGGAGCGGGAGTCTCCCCCGGGGACTGCATTGCCTTCTCCATGGAGGACGTGGCTCCTGGAAAGGCAGGGGCTGGAGAGAGCCCGTGAGGAACGGTGGGTGATTCGGTGCGTGGCGTGTAAAGTGCACGTGTGGGGCAGAGGGGGACTGGGATGCAGAGGGGGGTCGGGGGCTCAGGCCCGTGGGACTCTCCAGCTGGAGCAGGACATCACCAAGACGGACCAGTCTTAGGAGACCCAGCTGTTTAAGTTGGCCCTGGACCGACCGCTGCCCTCTGCAGGAAATGGGTGCAAACGAATTTTTATCTGTGAGCAAGTAAGAAGTGGAGGTAGCAAGAGGGATTCTCAGAAGGACTTGGAAGGGGAGGAGGCTGGACCCGCCAGGAGGGGTGCTGGCCCAGTTGTGCCCGTGTGGGCCAGCCCCTCTGGAGCCAGGGCCCAGACGCAGACAGCAGGACCAAAATCAGGCCCTTCTCTGCTCCCGAGACACTCCCAGCCGGTCTCTGGCCAGCGGCTGCCAGGGTCCCCCTTGCTCCAGAAAGGCCTGTGGCTTGCTGGCCCTGCCAGGGTTTCCCCCTTCCTGGGCAAGGCTGGGCCTCGCTGGGCCTGGAACGGGGGCTCCTCTCTGAGAAGCCCCCCGCCTCCACCTCCTCCAGCGTGTGGTCACCATCACGGCTCCATTTATGTGCCACGTGGAGGAGGCTGCTGTGTCACCACGCCGGGCCCTCCTGCCCAGGAAGTGTTCAGTCACGATGGGCCCGGGGAAAGGCAGACATCCTTACAGATGCGCTGAGCACCTGACTTGTATTATCTCATTCAATTCTGGCATCAACCCCATGGATAAGTACTATTGTCCTCATGTCACAAGGGAGACTGAGGCACGGGTTGCATCGGCTTGCAATGCCCCAGGTTAGACAGCGAGTGAGGGGTGGACAGGGGATCTGGCTCCACTGTGCTGTCTTGGCCGTGTAAGGTGGTGGTATCCTGGGCAGCGAGGGCAGCACCCTCCCTCCTCTTCTCCCCCCAGTCACACACACGGGAGTGGCGGCAGGCTCAGGGCCCGCCCTCGCAGAGCCCAGGGCGACACAGAGCCGTCCTCGGGGACACACAGTCCCACGGTCAGATCGCAGTGCACAGATGGCAAGTTTGAAGAGGTTCCCTGATGCTGTGGGAGCCCTGAGGAGGGAGGGTGCTGGCAGGGGCAGAGGCCAGGCAGGCTTCCCGGAGGAGGTGACATTTGAGCTGAAAGGTAAAAGGGAATGTCAGATGGCCACATCCGGAGGGAGGGAACTGGTAGGGGGTAGGAAGCAGGAGAGGGGAGGGTGGAGAGCACTCCTCTCCCCCGAGGGAGTCCCTGCTTGGCTAAGCAATTGGGAGCCATTAAGAAAGTGCATTGGGCCAAAACCGGTTTGGCTCAGTGGATAGAGCATCGGCCTGCAGACTGAAAGGTCCCAGGTTCGATTACGGTCAAGGGCATGTACCTTGGTTGCGAGCACATCCCCAGTAGGAGGTGTGCAGGGGACAGCTGATGGATGATTCTCTCTCATCGATGTTTCTAACTCTCCCTCTCTCTTCCTCTCTGTAAAAAATCAATAAAATATATTTTTTTAAAAAAGAAAACACATTGGGGTTAGAACTGTAGGTCCGGGGATGGCCGAGGTGAGATGAGCTGCAAGGAGCCTGGCAAAGGGCCTCCTGACAGTGCCCGGCCAGAGATTGCCCGGCTGCTGCAACCCCTCCGGCCCAGCCAGGGGTGGTCTTGGTTCTCTCCTGCACTGACTTCCCCTCGAGGGCCGCTGATGTGTTCTGATGACCTCAGCGGCTTCCCAGACAGCAGGATGTCCGAGCTCGCTGTGCCTCTGAGATAAGGGGACGGATGAAAGCAAGGATTAAACCGGGACCAGCGGAAGCGGCTACAGACTAGGAAGCAGCCGTGGTGGGTCGGCAGCCCCCACCCTCCCCATCCCCAGTCCCACAGGAGACAGGGGGGGCCTGGCCCAGGCTTGAGGGGCCAGTGCCTGGTTGGGGGGCTGCAGAACCCTGCATTTCCTCAAGTCCAGATTGGGGAGGGGGAGGCTTTAATCCTCTGATAACTGGCTGTGTGACGTAGGCCGGAGTTTGGATAACTCATTAGTCAACAGAGCCAAATATCAGCAGTACAGCGATTGAAATTTCTTTTGAGAGCCGAAAACCGACTTCTGTGCATGGGCCACCAAATTTCAATCTCACTGTACGTGCGCGCCTGCACGTGGTGTTTTGTGGAAGAGCCACACTCAAGGGGCCAAAGAGCCCCATGTGGCTTGCGAACCGCAGTTTGCTGACTACTGACTTAGGCAATCGCTTTGCCCCTGGGCTTCAGCGTTTACTCAGGAGTCCAGGGCGGAGGCGGGAAGAAGACCTGCTTTGCAGGCCTGTGTGAGGAGGGAAGGGGATGAAGACTGTGACCTGTTCACAGGCTGCAGGTCACCATGCCAGTGGGAGGGCCTTTGCTCCTGGGGCCACTGCCAGAGCCCAGACACTGGTGCACGCTGCAAGGCCTCAGGCTGCGGCCACAGGGCCCAGCTTGGGGGTGGAGCCTGACCCTGCTCCCAGCTCCCCACCAGTCTGTGCACAGGACACTTCCCCGCTCTGAGCCTCAGGTCCCTGTGGTCGCTGTGAAGAGGGACCAATCCCTGCCGGGCCGGTTTGGCTGCAGAGGGGAGAAGGAGGGCACATTCGGGCAGGTGGCCTGCTGGGCCACCCGTGACCCCACTTAACCCCTTTCCTGCCCTGCTCCTCCAGTGGGAACGCCTCTGGTTCCTGCTCCTCACCGTCACCTTCGGCCTCACCCTCACCTGGCTCTACTTCTGGTGGGAAGTCCACAATGACTACGATGAATTCAACTGGTGAGTGGGGATGGGCCGGGGCGGGGGGGGGGGGGGGGGGATGAGGCCTGAGTCCCGGGCATGCAGAGGCTGAGACGGGGTGGGGGGGTGGGGGGGGTGATGGCGGTGGTGGTGATGGTGGTGGTAATGGTGGTGGAGTTTGAGCCTCTCTCTCAGGCTGGCCCTCAGAGCTCTGCCAACAACTCTGTGTGGCTTTGGGGCAGGGTCTCTGGAAAGACAAAGCCCAGGGGGACTGAGACCAGCAAGTCTCTGGTCCACTCTGAGCCTCGGTGTCCTCTTCTGTAAAATGGGGTAACACTGACCTCATCAGTCTTTCTGAGGTGAATTGAGATGATGGACTTGAGAGGGCTCAACGCCCTACTTCACCCTGAGCGTCATTTCCTGGGAGGCCCGTTCTCTAGCTGGAAGGCGCCATGATGTTAGAATTGGGGACTTCTGATGGGCCATGGTTCTGGGATTCCATGATGATCCTGAGATTCTGTTCATGGAGTTGGGCATCCCCTCCCCTCTGCGTGGCCCTAGGCTGCGCCTCCATTATTAACGAGCACAATAAAGGGTGTGCTGCTGTCCCCCATCTCCCCCCGGCCTGGCAAGGTGAGCCTCAGCCCCAGCCAAATCCCCGAGGTGGCCTCTGGCCTTTATTAAACGCCATAAATCAGCTACTCATCCTTGTAGGCTGCGCAGCGCAGGCACTGTGCTGGGCGTGCAGGAGCATCCCGGCTGGCCCTCGCTGCAGACCTTGGACAGCTCTGCTGAGCTGGAGGCTGGCTCCCTGGAAAGTGATTGAGTCCGTCCCCATCATGTTCAGATGGGAAACCTAAGGCCCAGACAGGGGCAGGACTCATTTGTGGCCACACAACCCCCCAAAATTCATCCTTAGGAAATCCAAAATAGCATCCCAAGGAGAGTCTGAGGAGACTGCACTTCACTGTGCGACTCAGAGAGGTTAAGAGGCTCAGAGAGGTTAAGTAGCCTTCCCGAAGTCGCACAGTGAAGTGCAGACAGCTCTAGGACAGCAACACGAGCCTGGCTGGCTGTCTTATGTCGTCTGCAGAGCCACCCCTCTCCCAGAGAGTGAGCTCCCTGTCGCTAGGTGGCTCAGGCAGAGGATGGGTGCCTGCCCGTCAGGCCCTGCCTGGGGCTTCGGGGTGGCCTGAACACCTGCCTGCCACCTCAGTTTCTTAAAGTCGGGGCTGGGATTCCGGGCTGGGAGTCTGGTCTGGGCCTGTGGTCTCTGGAGACGTTGTGAGTGAGACCCAGGCGGTCAGGGCTGGATGACAAGAGCCAGGGAGGGGCTTCGGGGCTGTTGCTGCTCAGGAGGGCTCTCTGGCGAGGGAGAAACACGTGGAGCCAGGGCACTTGGCAGAAGTTGTCAGCAGGAGCGGGTCCCCCCTTCTCTGGGCCTCGGCTTCCCCTTCTATACGGTAGGAGAGCGCCCTCCGTGACCTCCCAGGTGGCAGGTTTCCTCTGGAGCCAGAGGGCGCGGGCCAGGGAAGAGCAGGAAACAGGTGCCTAAAAAGCTTAGTCCCTTCAGCCTGTGACTCCGTGTGTAAGAGTCTGTCCTAAGTAAGTAATTACTAGAACACAAAGATATGTCCACAGCTTTCTTTTCTGTGTTCATTTATTATAGCGAATAATTGGGACTGATGAATTGCCATTAGTGGGAGGTTGGCCACATATGGTGCACTGATTCAGCAGAAGTCTACGTGGCTGCTGAAAACCACATCTCCTCGGGCTTGTTCTGACCTCAGTAAATGCCCGTGTGAATCAGAAGAGAATTGATTACTGATCACATGCCCTCCCCCCCCCCCAACCTCCCAGTTCATCCTCAGGAAATCCTTTAAAGGGCATTTGATGCATTCTAAGACCCCCTGTGTTCACATCCTAGCTTTGAAATAGAAATGGGTGTCACAACTGATGGCATTTTAGGATCCGTAAAGCCTGTCCCCTCCACAGGGACCCACAAGCCAGTTAGAGGCTGAGTGGGCGTTTGAATCCGAGTGCACTTCCCTCCGAAGCCGAACTCTGACCACTGTGCTCTTCCAGCGGGTCTGGCTTTGCTGCGGATACAGATCTATAAGCACAGGCGGGAACGTCAGCCCGGTTTGGGAAATGCTTGTTTCTGGGCGGTAGAACGACGGAGATTGTTGTCCTCTCCTTTATGCTCTTGGCATGCCCAGGGTCCACCTCAGGCCTGGCTGATGATGGAGACACAAGAGCATCATTACGGAGTGGGCGGGGCCTGGCCCCTGAGCCTGGCCGGCCAGAGGCAGGGCCCTGGCTCCTGGGGGAGGTCTGACCCCGGCCCCCTGTCCTCTTGCAGGTACCTCTACAACCGCCTGGGCTACTGGAGCGACTGGTCCGTGCCCATCCTCCTGACGGCAGCCACCGCCTTCACCTACATCGCGGGCCTCCTGGTACGCTGAGGGCCTCCTGGCCCTGCTCCCGGGAAGGGAGGCGTGGCCTGTGCAGGGCTGCTGGAGGGGCCTGCCCGGGCTGATGAGGGAGCTGGCTTTCCCCTTCTCTCGGGCTGCTGCACCTCAGGGGCTTGGTTCCTTCAAGGTGGGCAATCGCCTTCCTTCTACCCCATCCTGCAGTGTTTCCCCCAACCGGGGGGGGGGGGGCGGGGGGGAGGCTTCTGCTCCTAGGAGCCTCTTCCAGGAGCTTCTGCTTTGGTTCCTGCGCCCAGACCTCTATTCCCTCAGACTCCCTGTCACTCCCTCTGTTAGATGGGGGGCTTCTTGGGAACCAGGCTCACAGGTACCTCCACCTCCAGGGGCCTGGAACTCCTACAACGTGAATTGAGCAGCCCTAGGGCCGCGGGCCGAGGGAGAAATCCTCAAGGAGGAGGAAGAGGAGGAGGAGGAGGAGGAGGAGGAGGAGCGGGAGGCCTGGGAGAGTTTGGGAGGAGGCCAGGCGTGGGCCGGGCTGGGCATTCCCACCGCCTCCGCCTCCGGGGAGGGTTTGCTGGCTTTTCTGAGCCAAACCCAGAGCTGAGTGGGGACAGGGTGTCTGGGAGTGGGCGGGAGCTTTGAGTGGCACGTGGTGCCTGACCGCTGCCCTGTGGCCCCTCCTCAGGTCCTGGCGCTCTGCCACATCGCCGTGGGGCAGCAGATGAACCTGCACTGGCTGCACAAGGTACGGGCTGCCTCCGCGAGGTCAGAGGGAGCAGAGGGGGGCCCGTCGCCCTTCCTCTGGGTCACGGCCACAATTGTTCTAGTCGCTCACACTCTGTTTTCACACTGTGCCCAGCCCTGTCCTCCCCACCTGGCCGGTGTTAACGCATTGAGCTCTCACAGGAGCCCTGTGTGGCAGGTACTGTGATCCTACTTTGCAGCTGGAAAAGCTGAGGTACAAAGAGGTTAAGTCACTTGCCCACGGTCTCCCACTCCGTCAGTGGAGGATCCAGGGTCCTAACCCCGTAGCCGGTCAGCCAACCAGCACGGGTCACACCGGCGGGGCCCCGCCTCGGATCCCATCCTCTCTTCATTCCGCAGCGAGCTCGTTCTGAAACTGACCCAGTCGTGTTCTTCCCTGTCAGAGGCCCTCCCACCACTCCCATTGCTCCCAGGAGGACCCCCTCCCCATCATGGCGGCCCCTCATGACATGGCCCTGCTCATGTCTCCCAACTGCTGTCCTGGGTCCGCCACCCCCGGCTGTGGATGAGACGTCTCGGGCCCCGCCATCACGGCTGCCTCTTCTCTACTTTGCCTCCTCGCTCTCGCCTCCCTCTGTCTCCCTCCGGCCCCTCCTTGGTTCTCCACCGCCTGCCCAGGATGCTTGACTCCCCGGCTCCCGCAGGGCCCGCCACCACAGCCTGAGCGTCCGTGTGGTCCGGCTCCCTCTGGCTCCCTGGCCCCGGCCCTCCCCATGCTGGGAGCTTCTTCTTCTTCTTTTTTTTTTTTTTTTTACGGAGAGGAAGGGAGAGGGATAGAGTTAGAAACATCCATGAGAGAGAAACATCAGTCAGCTGCCTCCTGCACAGCCCCTACTGGGGATGTGCCCACAACCAAGGTGCATGCCCTTGACTGGAATCGAACCTGGGACCCTTCAGTCCACAGGCCGACGCTCTATCCACTGAGCCAAACTAGTCAGGACTCAAGGAGCTTCTTGCAACCAGGACTGGGTTTGCCCATCGCTGGCCTTAGTGCCTCCCTGGGTGCTGGGCCCAACACAGGGAGGCTTCCGAGAACCAGAGCCTCAGCCCTCTTGCTGTGCTTGGTGCCGAGTGGATCTGCCTGCTCTTCTTGAGGCCCCAGCGGCCGCAGGGGTGGCACAGAACTGACCGAGAGAGAGAGCCTTCCCTCGCAGGAGCACCTGGGCCTTGGAGGGAGGGCTCGGCCGGCTCTTTATTCCCAGAGCCTGGCTCAGAGTGGCCAGGCTGGTCAGAAAGGGGCAGGCATGTCTAGAAATAGCCATGAGCCCATGAGATGGGTCCAGGGTGACTCTGAGGGGAAGGGCTTGCTTCCAGTTAGAAGAGGGACGTGGAGCAGGAACTGAAAGAAGAACATAGTGAGTTCAAATTGGGCTGCGCAGTGGGAGGTGCCCGAGGACATCCAGGGGGGCCGTGGAGATCAGGAGCTGGGGGCCAGACTGGGTGACTGGGGTCTCGGAGGGGCGAAGAGCAGCCAGCAGCCGGTGTCCCATCTCCGCCTGCTTGTCACTCTATCCGGAGGCCTCCCCTGGGCATATGAAGTCCCCTCCGGGAGGCACTTTTATCTCCCAGCTACAAAGCTGATGCTTGAAAGGACCGCACCAGATGGCAGCTGGGTGGGGCTGGCTTCCACCGTGGTCGCCTCCTCTAGGTCACGCCTGGCTCTCAGCAGGTCACACCTGCCGGGTCCCGGTGGAGAGGCCTCCGGAGACGCCGAGCCGGCAGGGGTGCAGGTCACTGCACGGATTCCTCTCCTGGGAGGGGGATCGGATCCCTTCATCTGCACGGTGCCAGCTCCGGTGCCAGCCCTGACTTCCCGTCCCCGCTGGCCACGAGATCTCAGCATGAGGAAGGCCCAGCCGGAGCGGATGCATGGCTGGACCCACTGCACCAGGAGGGAGGCAGCTCCCTGGGGCTCAGAGCTTTCAAGTCGGGGCTGGACACGCTCCTGTTCTGTTCCCAACATTCCATCATTGAAGCAGAAGATTCTAAGGAATCCTTGTTCTTTTTTTGTTTTGTTTTGTTTTAACCAACTGGTTTTGTTTTAACCAATTTTGGGCCATCTACATTGACATTTGGGTTCAAAATTAGAAAGGTGCAAAAAAGCACACAATGTAAGTCTCCCTTCTATCTCTCCAAAGTATTTTAAGCATATCCACATATTCATATACACTTCCTTTTTCCTTCTCTTTACACACAAGCCTACTATGCCTCCATTTCACACGTTAACAAAACTCTTGGAGCTCCTTCCCCACAGAGCATTGAGAGCTTCCATTGTCATTCAGCCCCTGCTCCCGTCCCCACATCTAACCCTGGGTCCCCAGGTATTCCCTGTTGATGGTCCTGATGACATCCCAGATGCTTTTTAATGCTGCCGGGATTCGGGCTGTTCTTGCGGCTGAAGCCACGTGTGGGGGGAATCCCTCAGACAGCGAACATTGCAGCTGCTGCTGCTGAGCATAATGGTGCCACCGCAGCAACTGCAGAACTCATCAGCAAAGTTTTAATTGCCTGAGGGTTATGGGGGATTTGTTTAATTTCCACTAGCAATTAAATACTGCCATAGATGCTCTCAGAAACGGCCCGTCAGAGACGCTTGCCTTGCCCAGAGCCTGCCTGGCGGGCAGCAGGGGGCGGGCGCCTGTGCGTTGAGGGGCACTCTCGGGGGTGGTTAGGGGGCTGGGCCTCCCGCACCGCAGCATGACCTCTGACCCGGGCAGAATGGGGTTTGGGTCCAGAAACACCCCCTCAACGCTACACGGCCAAGCAAACCCAGTGGTCTCTGAGCCCAGTTTCTGTGTAAAATGAAGATCGTGCCTCCCCCGAGAGGGGAGGAGAAGAAACACAAGGAAAATGAAAGTGCCTCCCACAGACCCAGCACACACGCACCCGGCACACGCACCCGGCACACGCACCCGGCACACGCACCCGGCACACGCAGCCGGCACACGCAGCCGGCACACGCACCTGACACACACACCCGGCACACATAACCAGCACACACACACCCGACACACGCACCCGGCACACGCACCCGGCACACGCAGCCGGCACACGCACCCGGCACACGCACCCGGCACACACACCCGGCACACATAACCAGCACACACACACCCGACACACGCACCCGGCACACGCACCCGGCACACATACCCAGCGCACACACCCAGCATACGCCTCCCAGGGCTGCTTCCCCATCCCATGCTCCCAGGCAGGCAGGCCAGTCACTGAAGACCCCGGCCCGGCCCAGCCTTATTACTGCTTCTTATTGGAACACCTGTTTCCCACCTGATGGGTTGGCATGACAAACCCACAAAGGAAAACTCCATCCAGGCAGAAAGGAGATGGAGCTGCACCCTCTGCCCTCACCATCTAGAATCCCATTCAGAGCTTGTTCTAACTGAGAGGGGTTAAGACAGGCCCAAAGGAAGGGAGAGGGGACACCTGCCTCAGGCCCGAGTGCAGAGGGGGCAGGGAGTGGGGGCCTGGCTGCCCGGCCCCTTAGAGAGAGAGGGTAGGGCTGTGGGGTAGAGGGGTCACCTGGGCACTACCCGGCCTGCCTGGCATGCAGGGAGGTGTGTAGGGTGAGTGCCAGGGCTCAAGAGGTGTGTGTTGGCGGCGGGGTGGGGGGAGGGGGAGGTCTCTGGAGACTAGCCAGACACCAGGCTTCGCTTAGTTTGGGGAGCATCTGACATGTGTGAGATGGTCAGATCCCCTCTGTGCCCAGAGACCCCTGTCCTGTGAAGGTTCCCCCTGGTCTCCCATCACAGCAGGGCTTGCTTCTTCAGGAGCGGCTGGGAGGCGGCCCCGGGGACATGATAGAGGCTGGGGGCTCAGAGGCGGGGGCTGAGGGCAGGCTCTGCCATGGGCTGGGGCTGGGGCTGCACCCTCCCTCCCCTCTGCTTGCTCAGCCTGCAGGGCCTGTGGGCCTGGCTGGCAGGGGACACGGCTGGCCTGGGCATCAGGCTCCCACAGGGACCTGGCTCCTCAGCCTCCTGCCCCTGTGGTCCAGGCAACTCACCCTTCACTCCAAAGGGTGCTGGCAGGGCTGGGGGAGGCCTTGGGTGGGCCCTGCTGGGCGCCGGAGAGCCTGGGTGTCTTCCCGCCTCACACCCTCCGTGGGGCTGAGCCTGGGCTTCACCTCCACCTGCTCCGGCTCCTGCCCCCTCCCATCCCCTCTGTTTCTCTTGGTCCTCGGCTCTTCTTCCCTGGGTCTGCGTCCTCCTCCTGCCTCCGTCTCACTCTCATCCCTGCCTCTCACTGTCATCCCTGCCTCTCACTGTCATCCCTGTCCCTCACTGTCATCCCTGCCTCTCGCCGTCATCCCTGTCCCTCGCTGTCATCCCTGCCTCTCGCTGTCATCCCTGTCCCTCGCTGCCATCCCTGTCCCTCGCTGTCATCCCTGCCTCTCGCCGTCATCCCTGCCTCTCGCTGTCATCCCTGTCCCTCGCTGTCATCCCTGTCCCTCGCTGTCATCCCTGCCTCTCGCCGTCATCCCTGTCCCTCGCTGTCATCCCTGTCCCTCGCTGTCATCCCTGCCTCTCACCGTCATCCCTGTCCCTCACTGTCATCCCTGCCTCTCGCTGTCATCCCTGTCCCTCGCTGTCATCCCTGCCTCTCGCCGTCATCCCTGTCCCTCGCTGTCATCCCTGCCTCTCGCTGTCATCCCTGCCTCTCGCTGCCATTCCTGTCCCTCGCTGTCCTGCCTCTCAGTGTCATCCCTCTCTCTCACTGTCCTCTTTGTCTCAGCTCCTTTCAGCCTGTGCCATCTCCTGCTCCCCCTTTCCGGCTTTGTCCGCCTCTCCTGTGCTCTCATCTCTTCCCCTCGGTCCCTGCCTCCCCCTCTCAGACACGCTGGAGGCCCCTGGCCTGTCCAGCCACACCTGCTCTTCCCTTCCAGATGGGGCTGGTGGTCATCCTGGTGTCCACGGTGGTGGCTATGTCGGCCATGGCCCAGCTGTGGGAGGACGAGTGGGAGGTGCTGCTCATCTCCCTGCAGGTGAGGCGGGGTGGGGGAGCTCCCCTCAAACACGCAAAACAAGGCAGCATGTGTCTCTATCCCATTGTTTCCTCTGATCAAGACCCTGAGCGGGAGGAGGGGCCCAGGAGAGCCCGGAGAGTGACAGAGGAGGGGGGTGACCGCCCAGGGTCCCTGACGCCCAGTGTCTCGGGGGTGCCTGCCCCGTGGATAGAGATGGGCCATCAGGGTGTTGGTGACCAGAGGGTCTGGCACAGCTGGGACTCAGTGGGGCCTCTTGTCCCCTCTCCCCGCACACAGGGCACAGCTCCGTTCCTGCACATGGGGGCCCTGGCCGCCGTCACTGTGCTCTCCTGGATCGTGGCGGGACAGTTCGCCCGGGCAGAGCGGTCCTGTGAGTGTGACTGGACAGAACCTGCCCCCGGCCCTGCCCTCCCTGCCCCCCAGGCCTGCCATCCCCTGGATGTGCCCTACGGGGCCATGGGTACCATGGGGGCTGCAGCTTCAGTCAGCAATGCCCACTTCCTCATCTGAGTCTGCATCTGCATCTGTGTCTGCATGGCGTGTGGGCCAGAGGCAGGTCACCTCTCTCTGGCTACAATGGGGGCTGCCCCTAGTGCAGTCTCTTCAGGACATGTGTGTCCGGACTCTGGAGGGGAGAGGGGTCCCCCACCACCTGCCGAGGGCTCACAGCCGGGCCTGACGGGAGCGGGCGCTCACCGGGCGGTGCTCTCGCCTGTGCCCAGCCTCCCAGATGGCCATCCTCTGCATCTTCTCCGCCGTGGTGTTCACCCTCTACCTGACCCCGCTCACCATCTCCTCGCCCTGCATCATGGAGAGAAAGGACCTGGGCCCCAAGCCCGCCCTCATCGGCCACCGCGGGGTCCCCATGGTGAGTGCTCTGAAGGTCCTGGCAGATGGGGGGGGGGGGGCGGGGGCGCGGGGAGCAGAGCTGCCATTCTAGGGGAGATGATCTTGTAGGGAGGGACTTGCAGGGAAGTGAACGGGATACCTGGGATGAAATACAGCAACCGTTAGCCTTCGGGGGATGCGGGGGAAGGTTCACGGAAGGCTGGAGAGCTGGCGGGTGAGGAAGGCCCCGGAGAGAGCGTCTGGGTCGGGTGGGGTGGGAGCGGGGCGGCCTGCAGGCTGAGACCAGGCCGTGGGGCAGGTGAGGCGGGCGCAGCCCAGAGCCCACTGCTACAGGGAAGATGCTCCGGGGAGCTGGGGAGAAATGGAGAGAGAAAGGGGTCAAAGGCAGCGGCTGATGCCCCATAGCCCGCGGGGCCTCCCCTCGGGTGGGCACCCTCCAGAGCCAGCTTCCTCCGCCTCTGGGCGGCTCGGGAGCCCGACTGGCTCCATCTTCTCTGGGCCAGTTTCCGCTTCTTGTGCCTGAGGTTCCAAGAGAGCCTGCGAGGCAGGACACAGCATGCTGAGGTGCCCAGCTGTGAGCCTGGGAGACACCCCTGTTACCCTGAGCAACCCTCCCCCTTCTCGACCAGGGTTTCCTCACCTTGAACCTGGGTTCTCCAGAGGCAGGGCACCTCCCTCCTTCGGGGGGACTTCTGAGTCCCATGGTGTTGAGTTTCAGGGGAGCCCAGAGGCCCTTCCACGAACCCCGCTCTGGTCACGGTACCTCCCGGAAGCAACGAGCTGGGAAGGACATGGCTTTGGGGTCGGAGGGATCTGGTTTGGGATCCGGTTTTGCCATGTGCTGCCTGAGTGTGTCCGGGGCCACCTGTCCCCTCGGAGCCTCGTGCCCTGTCAATGGTGAGAGAGAGAGAGACACACAGCCTTCCCAGGCAGCGGGTCTGGGGGGGGGGGGGGGCGGGAAGGAGCAACGTAGCCCAGCCTGGATTATTATTTCAGTAGAAATTTTTCAAACAATCACAGACATGGAAAGAGTAATATAATGGAGAATAAATAAGAGTCGTGAATCCAGTACCACCTTCAACATCTGTCCCTGCTTTGTCATTCTTGTTCCGTCTTTCCCTCCTTTTCTTTTTTCTGCTGTGATATTTTGTTTATGTTTAATCTTTTAAAAATCTTTATTGTTGAAAACATGACATATGTCCCATGGAAAGGGGGAGAAAGAAAGAAACTCGAATTATAGAGCCCACTGATGTCTGCTATACCACCCACGAGCTTGAGAACATCAGCCCATTTTATAGCTAAAGAAACTGAGGCTCCCGAAGGGGAAGTGATGGCCCAGGACTGGGAAATGGTATTGCTCCTTCTCAACTCCCACGTCCTTTCCGTGTGTTACATGGTGGGGAGCCGCATGGCCAGAGGGAGAGAAATTCCAGGATATAAAATAGAGGGAAAAATAGAATGGGAACCACCTTGTCTTGGCGGGAATGAGATCGGCCTTGGGGACCCTTTCCACCTCATCCCTTCTTGGCCAGGGGTCCTCCGTCCAGTCTTCCTGTGATGTGCCTCCTCCTAGCCCAACCCTTGGTATGGTGCTGACCCCCAGTGGCAGCAATGGGTATGACAGTTACCAAATCTGCTAGAACTAGCGAAACTTAAAGCCTCTCCTCTCCCAAGTAGGAAGACCCTTAAAGAAGAGGGAATATGCTCTCTCAAGGGGTATGTGGGTAACCTGCGTCTATGAGACAAACAGATGCACCACGCAAGGCCACAAAGCTGGTTGACGGTAGAGTCAGGGCCAGATCCAGGCTCTTCTGATGTGGATGCAGCAAGGTCAGCAGTTGCCATTACTTACTGAGTATCAGCCGACGTGCTGGGACTCTTAACCCATGTGACAGTCTCGGAGATGCTCTCGTCACCTTCTGTACAGATGAGAAGAGTAGTCGCCCTCTGAAACTGCTGCCTACCTACCCTCTCCCCTCGCTCCGGCACCTCTCCCTGGACTCGGGGTATAACAAGGGGAAACGTGGCGTTCACCCCCAGCCCAAGACTGCCATAGGCAGAGGCCTGTACCCCCACATTTATGTCCATCGACATTAACCACCCCTGCCTCCCACTCCCGCCCAGAAACCCTGCGGGGCAGGAGTGATTGAACAGATGAGGAGGCTGAGCCCCGCCACACAGTATGGCCTGAGGAGCTGGGGCCAGAACCAGGCCCAGCAGGGAGGTTCTGCCCTCGGCTGGGGAGGGGCGCGTGAGCTAAACCCCAGCTCTCCCCTCCCTGCCCCCTCTCCCGGCAGCTGGCCCCGGAGCACACGCTGATGTCCTTCCGGAAGGCCCTGGAGCACAAGCTGTACGGAGTGCAAGCTGACGTCACCATCAGGTAGGCGCTGGGTGGTGAGGACGCACCCCTCCTGCCCCCACTTCATCCACACCCGGTCTCCCCTGGGGACCCCGCGGGTCCGGAGCCTCGGAGAGGGGAGGGCAGAGGCTTGGGTTACCCACCTTGTTCTCGACCTTAAATCTTGTGCCAAATCCCAGGATATAAAATAGAGGAAGAAAACAGAGGTTCTTGGTTGAAGCAGGGCTGGGGGTTGGGAGCTGCAGTCCTGCCACGGAGCTGCTTGAAGGACAGACTCAATCTCTGTGAAGGACTAGGGCTCCGACAGATGGAGCCACTCTGATAAGTGACATGTGCACATTGCAGAGTGCACACTCCCTGTGGTGTCACTTATACTTTACTTTTTTATTTTTTTTAAATATAGATTTATTGATTTTTTTTTACAGAGAGGAAGAGAGAGGGATAGAGTGTTAGAAACATCGATGAGAGAGAAACATTGATCTGCTGCCTCCTGCACACCCCCTACTAGGGATGTGCCCGCAACTAAGGTCCATGCCCTTGACTGGAATGGAATCTGGGACTCTTCAGTCCACAGGCCAACGTTCTATCCACTGAACCAAACCAGTTTTGCCATCACTTATATTTTAAAAGACCACATTAAGATGACTTACACAGTCCTGGCCAATGTTGCTGGTTGGTTAGAGCAGTGGCCTGTGCACTGAAGGGTCTCGGATTCAATTCCCAGTCAAGGACATGCACCTGAGTTGCAGGTTCGATCCCAGACCCCGGTGGGGGCACGTGTGGGAAGCAGCCAATGGATGTGTGTCTCTCACATTAATGCTTCTCTCTCCCTCCCTTCCACTATCTCTAAAAAGTAATGGGAAAAATACCCTTGGGTAAGGATTAACAACTAAAAACAAACAAAAAACCATAAAATGACTTACACATCTTCTTCTGCACGTAGACACGTGTGTATTAATATAAAGGGCAGGAAGAACCCACACCCATCTCATAGCAGACCTCTGAGAAGGGGAGAGGGCAGGGCTGCCATT